CCATTACACATGAGAAATCTGTTCAACCTCATGAGTTTTCACACAATGGCAAATGCAACTCAAAATAGGAAGGTTTCTGTTCTTGTTTTTGTTTTGTGGTGCTAGGGATCAAATTCAGGGCCTTGCACATGCTAGGCAAATGTTCTACCACTGAGCTCTACCCTCAGGCCAAGATGGTATTTTTTAACCACAGATGAAGTTGAGGGCATCAAGTGTTGACAGTGTGCAGTGAAGGTGCTGGTGTGAGGGCACAGTTGGCAACCTTAAAGGGACAACCTGGTGCTACTGAAGCATGCCTTTTACCTAGCAATTTTCCCTCTTGTTTTCTAGTCTAGAAAAAAAGCTTTCCACATACTTATCCACCAGGATCATACTGTGGAAGTCTACTGCATGCTCATTCATAATAGCCAAAAAATGATCATTAAGAGAGAAATGGTTAAATAATGATATCCATGTTCTCTGCAATACATGCAGAACAATAAATGCTGTCTAACAGTTTAAAAGAATGGTATAAACTCCTATGCAAGCAAACATGAAAAGCTCTCCAGGACACATTATTTAAGGGGAAAAAAGTTACAAAAAAAATAGTATGCTATAATTATTTAAGACTTTGAGGGATCACACATCCAAACTGTGTACATGTATTTCCATAGGAACATAATAAATTCCTAGGAACGAGGTAAATACTTAGAAAAAGATTTATAAGGTCTAGCACAACATCCACCAAATCTATTAATAGTGGTGTCATCTCTGGAGAGAAATAGTATTGGATGATGAATCCGTAATATGTTGATATTTTTTAAATGATGTACATTCATAAATTATTTGTATAACTAAAAATACCTTTCAAAGTGTGTAACCATGCACGTTGAGTATTCTGAAGATGGATTTTGTGCTAATACACTCTACCTGGACAGTACTGAACAATTTCAACTCTCTTATGCCAAGAACAGTCCTTCCATGTCAGAGACAAAGAAAGGAAGGACAAATACTTTTTTGAGACCTCTAGGAAAATGTTTTGAACTATTCTTATTTATCATTTCCCCTTCATACATGCAGAATCCACCCAACAATTGCATTGCCTGAACTGCCTTTTATGGTTTACAAAGCTGGTCTGGACCTGGCTTAGCAAGGTCATCTCTAAATCAAACAGCAGAAATATTTTATGTACCTTCATGAAATCCAGCAGAGGTTTTCAAACATTCATTCAGCACATTCGGTGCTCTCAAAATCTAAGATCTGCTCCCCAGTATAAAAATACAATGATACTTTCAAATTTATGGGATAGGGAATTGGTTCTCTCTTCATTCTCACCTGAACAGCTTCAAAGGGATGCTGAAACTTTTCATCAGATGACAGTAAATCAGTACACAATGTATTTCTCTCTGTCACTGAACATGCCATGCACCACTAGTCTCTTTCATTATATTAGATGAAATTGGTGAATGAAAACTAATAGAAAAATTTAAAGCACAGCTTTTCTAAGATATAGTACCCACACTGCACAATTCAACTACTTAAAGTGTATAATTCAATGACTTTTTAGCATATTCACAGAACTTTGCAATTATCACCAAAAGTCAATTTTAGAACACTTTTATCAGTCTAAAAATAAACCCCACAGCTATTAGCAGTCACTCCCCCTGCCCCTAGTCACCTACCCCTGCTGCAGGCAACCACTGATCTACTTTTTGTCTCCATAGGTTCATCTGAAATTGTCAATTCTGGATATTCTGTACCAATGGGATCATAAACATGGTCTTTTGCATCTGGTTTCTTTTATTAAGTTAATTTCTTCAAGGTTCATCCATGGTATAGCATGTGTCAGTATTAAATGTCTTTTTATTGTCAATATTCCAGAGTATGGATGTACCACATTTTGACATTTTATTTGTCCATTAATCTGTTGGTAGATATTTGGGTTGTTTTTAGTTTGGGGGTACCATGAATAATACTGCTGTACATTTCTGCATAAATCAAAATGCTTCTCAAGAAAAACTGAACAATTCTGCAAAAATGTTTGCTGGAAGATTTTGAAAGTAGGGAAATTAAAATACATGTTTTTCTTTATTCATTCCTAACAAATAATATTTAATGAACCAAATAAGCCATTTTATAAAAATAATAAAAAGGAATTATTACTGTCATAGTAACCATAATTAACTTTTAGATTAACCTTCTCTTAAACAATAAATTTAAGAAATGAGTTTCTGTAACTGGAAAAATACTCCCAGTCAGCAATTAAGTTTTTGATTAAAATTTGTGATGAGAAAGGAATGAAAGGGTTTTCTGGGAAGGAGTGGGGAGGGAAGGATTAAAATCCTGCCAGTCCAGGGGCCACTATGGGAAGGGGACCAGGAAGTAGTGAAGAGGTCTGGCAGAGATGAACCAATGTGGGTTGCAATACACACGTGCATGGAAGCAATGCTAGGAATCTCTCTGTATAGCTGTCTTTACCTCAAACTAGCAAAAACACTATGTCTTTATTATCTCTTATGTTTTCTCTTCAACAAAATCCAAGAACAAGAGGGTGGAACACGTTCTGCCACGAAGCATGGGGGGAGGCAAACAATGTATACACAAGTGAGTAAATGTAAAAATGATAAAATTAAAAAAATTAAAATCCTGCCAATCACTAGGGTAATTATAAACATTTTGATGGCAGAGACACTTTGCACTCTGACTTGGAGTGAATTTTTATAATTATTTGGAATACTAAAGTAGCTGAAGACAGAACTATTAAAAAACAGAGGCTTGGATTAGAAGTGTGGCTCAAGTGGTAGAGCACCTGCTTTCCAAGGAAGAAGCCCTGAGTTCAAACCCCAGTTCCACCCCCCAAAAAAAAAAAAAAACCAGAGGATATTCCATACTCCATTCCTAAACACTTCTTCCCTGTGGGTGTGATAAAATGACCTCTAAAAAAGTACCAGACAGACATGACACATCCACGCAAAGGCTTTGCAGATAGGCCTTTTTTTCTCTATTCCTTCAGCCCCATTAGCTGAGTGCGATTCTAAAGACTACTTTACTGTCTCTTCTCCTAATGTGCTATATGGCCAACTCCACAAATATGAGTGTTTAGGAACATCTTTATTTACTGCTATTTTAGCAATATTGTTTGAGCTCCCATACAAAACTTATGATGATTCATAAGAATAAACCTCTAATCTTATAATCATTCATTTGCTCTTCTTATGTGGGGAAATCAATATAAAAGGCTTTGGCTTATTATAATCCAATTAAAAGGCAGAGGAAAAAGAACTTTGAAGCAGAATTGTTTGACAGGACTTATAACTTCTATGAGTTTTCTGATTAGCTGCTTAGAGAAACTACAGAATCAAAGGGAAGAAGCCACAATGTATTCCATTTATAGACTACACAGCAAAATATAAACTCATAAGAAAGACACAAAAATTGAAAACTAGGAAAACAGTTCACCACTAAGTTTTATTATGAAAGTTTTCACATCAAGTGTTTGTACTCCCAAATCCATTCTCCCCCAAAAAAGTACAAATAGTCATTATAATCTCAGACCAATCCAGATAAACCTATTTAATCCATTATGTACATGAACCAAGATAATGTACACAACCTAAAAGGATAAGGGAAAGTACCACTGAAATGCTACTAATTAAGTCAAAAACAAAACAATTTAAATTTACTGAAGTAATTTTTTTCATACTTTGATTTATACTCCTACTCAATCTGGTCCAAGAAGAAAAACAATGGTAACTGAAGGAGAAAGAAAACCAGAAATGAGCTGGCATAGTGGCACAGACCTGTGATTCAGCTGCCTGTGATTGGCAGCACTGAGAAGGCTGAAGGAGGAGGACCATGAGTTTGAAGCCAGCCTGGGTTACATGGTGAAAGCCTGTCTCAAGTAAACAAGGGCTGGCAGGGCACAGCTCAGTGGTAGAGCTCCTGCCTAGTGTGTGTGAAGCCCTGGGCTCAACTCCCAGTTCTGAATGACTGGAAAAGCCCATTGAGAGAAGTGGGTGCTCTGCCTCCCCCTTTAGCTTCTCTTTCCCTTTCACTTCACCCACTTTCTCCCCTTCTATCCAAATCCTTCCAGGATTCCATACTCCATTTAAATCTTTCTAGTTCCATAAAGGCCACCTCAGTCTGAAATGATCTTGCTTGTGTTAGTCAGCTTTCCCTCACTGTAGCAAGATCCTAAGAAATACAGCTTCAAGACTTATTTTGGCCCACAGTTTCTAAGGTTTCGTGGTTGCTTGACCCAATTGTCTTTAGGCCTGCGGCAATACATTATCATGGAGCACAGGTGCTCACCTCATGGTGGCAAGGAAGCAGAGACAGAGGAGGAAGGGCTGGGGTCCCAATATCTCCTTCAAGGTTATGCTCCCAAGACCAAACTTCCTCCCATCAGGCCCCATTAGATTCCACCACCTATCCAAAGTGTCATCAGGGATGTGAGGGCGATCTGGCTGCGACATCTGTCACCCCATTGATCGCCAGGGTTGATTCGGCTGATCTGGCTGGCTAGGCGGGTGTCCCCTTCCTCCCTCACCGCTCCATGTGCGTCCCTCCCGAAGCTGCGCACTCGGTCGAAGAGGACGACCATCCCCGATAGAGGAGGACCGTTCTTCGGTCAAGGGTATATGAGTAGCTGTGCTCCCCTGCTAGAATCTCCAAACAAGCTCTCAAAGTGTCATCAGCTTTGGACTGAACCTTCAACATATGAGGGTTTGGGGAACACTTACGATCAAAACCATAACAAAGCTGCTCCTACAAGTTTCTACCATTGCTCTGGCAATTAACATTTACACATCAGCACTAACCCTGCTCTTGTTATTAATGACTCTCTGTTGTCTAATAAAGGGATTGATATGAAAGCAGAAGAAAAGAAATAAAACACTTATAAAGAACCCTAAGAACAAGAAAAGGAGGGAAACGCAAAGCATATATGTGTCATCAGTATGTAGAGATGGAGGGAAGAGATGGGTAAATGGTCTTGGGTCAGAAAGGCCCCTACTAGGGACTGTAGATGTAGCTCAGTGGTAGAGTGCTTGCCTAGCAAGCATGAGATGCTGGGTTCAATCCCCAGCACTGCAAAAGAAAAAGAAAAGGCCCCTACTCTATTCATAAAGTAGACCTATGTGCTCAGTGTCCACAGACTTGCTCTGGGCAGAGAAGGAAAGAGGAACAGAATGGCTGTGTGAATGCTACCTATGCTAGTATCTATACTATCATATTCATTTACAAGCATTACAATAGACAGAAGACCTTTGGATTGGGAAAGGGATGTGATCCATTCATTCAAAAAATACTTACGGAGGACCTAATATGTACCAGGCAGAGTTCTAGGTGCAGTGGATACAGCATGAACAAAATAAGAGTAAAAGTTCGGCTGTTATGGAATCGTTAATTTAAAAAGCAACAATATAAACTTAAAATACAAATAAAGTACATGGCATGTAAGATGATAAAAGTACTGTAAGAAAATTAAAGCAGGAAAGGGAAAGACAAGTGCTGTGAGGGTATATGTGTGTATGCTGGTGGGTAATTTTTAACTGGGTGATCTGATAAAGCCTCACTGAGAAGACTTTTGAGTAGACTTGAAGAAGGTGAGACTCAGAGCCATGCATATCTACAAGAAGAGTGTTCCAGGCAGAGAGAGTGGGTAAGCGTGAAGGCAATGTGCCAGTTCAGGAACAAGGAGGGTCAAGCAGATTGAGGTGGGGAAAAGAGCTAGAGAAAAGGTGGAAGGTAACAAGCGGCCAGATCATGTAATGACTCATGGACCACGGTATGGATTTTTTTTTTTTGAGGTAGGGTATTGTTATATCTTCCCAGGCTGGCTTTGAACTCTCAATCCTCCTGCTTCAGCCTCCTAAATGCTGGGATTACAAGTATATGCCACCATGCCTGGTTTACATTATAGATTTAAGCTTTGCTTTTACATGAGCAGAGTTTTAGGCAAAAGAGTAACATGATCTGACTCACACCACACCATCCAGCTGTTGGAATAGTCCAGATGATACTAGTTTGGACCATTATCAGTGGAAGGTGAGCAGTAGTCAGTTGCTGGGTATATTCTGGAAGGGGAGCTGACAGGACTTCCTAGTGGACTGGAGGTAAGGTACAAGAAGAAAAGAGGTGCTGTATTAGTTTGCTCAGGCTGTCATAACAGATGGAGTGACTTAAATTAAACAATAGAAACTTATTTTCTGGGGAGATTCCAAGATGGTAGCTAGAGGGAGGAAGCAGAAAGCGAGCCTCCTATAGTGAAATCTTGGAGAGACGCTGGAGACACACTTTGCAGGCATAATCACTGAGAAAAGGCATAACTTTGACCCCTCCACATCTCCAGTCGACGCAGAGAATCTCCACATCACGTTAAGCGGAGAAATGAGGAGGGCCTCCAGGCCGCCAGTGGCTGGCACCCAGACGGCTTGGGAAGACGCGGACCAGGTGAGCTTTGCGGTACCGCAGTTCCCCCACAGACAAGCCTGGGCCAGAGCAGCATAGCCCCCTGGAAAGACTGACCTGCACCCCGGGGAAAAAAAGAGAAACTGAGTAATAAGCAATAAGAACAATTAAGACACGCTGGAAAGAGGGTGGGGTGCCCTGAGCGCTAAAGATTGGGGGAAGGGAACCCTTCCAGGGACTGTAAATAAACAAGCCGGCAGGGAGCTCTGCGGAGCAGGGGCGCCCAGCAACCAGGAGCGGGGAAGCTGTGAGAGCGGGAGGGAGGAAAACTCCACAGAGGGGGAAGACCCACCTCCCACATGAACTGTAAATAAACAGCAGGCCTGACAACGCAGGGCAGTGTCACCTTTCCCAGTGCTTGGAAAGGGGAAAGCCTGTAGCAGAGGCTCGCACAGGAGAACTCTGAGCAAACAAAGCCTGTGGGACCAGGTGAGTGCTAAGCTCACCCCAGAGATCTGCATAAATAACTGCCAGCTACAGGCTGAGAGCAGCAGGCAGGCAAGCCACAGTTGCAGATACCACTCTCAGAACTGTCTCCAGACCTTTTTTTTTCTTTTTCTCCCTACCTTTGATGAGAGAACAACCGAATTACACCTGCAAGCGAAAAACTTACTGAAACTGTATTGCATTTGAACTTGGGACACTTGGTGGGGTTTTTTTGTTGTGTGTGTGTGTGTGTAGTTTTGTTCTACTTTATGCATCCCCTTTGATGAGACAACTACAGAACAACATCTGAGGCACCATCTCCAGGACTGGAGACTGAGACGGACACCCAAATTATTAAGACTGAAACTTGCATTGCATAAACTTGGAGTTTTTTGGTTTTTTTTTAATTTTCTATTTTCCATTTTATTTTAATTCATTTTTATATATAGATATTTCTTTCATTTACTTATTTTTATTTTTTTTATCTTTGATTTTCAATCCTCTCTCTGTCTCTCTAATGTCTGTTCAGCTTACTGTCGATTAGTACACTACACTCCCTGTTTATACCTTTGAAACTTTCTTGTCTGAACCTTGTTCTGTTTCTCCTCTTGTCTGTGTATTTGTTTTCCCTTTTCTTTAACTTCTTGCTTTCCATCTCAGCTCACCCTTCCATTCTAAATATTACCATTGTTATTATTACAAGCTAGAAAATACTTAATTGCACACAGTACAGGGACAGTAACAACACAAAGACAATGACGGAAGACAGAAAAAACAGGGAAACCAGTTTCCCCACAGCAAAAAATTAGTACAGGAACCAGAGGGGAATGAAGAAACAGAAACTCAGATCCAGACTCCAACAAAATGAAGATAAACTATGCCAAAGGACCCAATGAAGCCCACAAGAATAATTTAAAAGAAGACATACTACAAGTACTCAATGAGAATTTTATAGAGATGATACTGGATAGGGTCAACCAAAATGTACAGGAGACACTCAAGAAATTCCAAGACAACAAAAATAGAGAATTTGAAAAAGCAAAAGAAGAAATAAAGGAAACCATAGAAGCACTGTATAAACACCAAAGTGAAAGAGAGAACACAATGAATAAAGGATAAATGAACTCAGGACAAAAATAGACAACATTAAAGAGATAACCCAGGATATGGAAAACCTCAGAAAAAAGAACAAAACAGAACTGCAAAACAAAACGGAAGGCCAATCCAGCAGAATAGAACAAACAGAAGACAGAATCTCAGAACTTGAAGATGAAATGGTAATTAAAGGAAAAACTGAAGAACTATTAATTAAACAACTCAAGACCTGTGAAAAGAAAATGCAAGAACACACCGACTCCATCAAAAGACCAAACTTGAGAATCATGGGCATCGAAGAAGGAGAAGAGGTGCAAGCGAAGGGAATGCGTAATATATTCAACAAAATAATAACGGAAAATTTCCCAAATCTAGAGAAAGATATTCCCATACAGATGCAAGAGGCCTCCAGGACACCAAACAGACCAGATCAAAATAGAACTACCCTACGACATATCATCATTAAAACAACAAGTTCAGAAACTAAGGAAAGAATATTGAAGGCTGTAAGAGAGAAAAAACAAGTAACATACAAAGGTAAACCCATCAAAATCACAGCAGATTTCTCAACAGAAACATTAAAAGCAAGAAGAGCGGTGAGATCTTCCGGGCACTGAATGAAAATAACTTCAACCCCAGGATACTCTACCCAGCAAAACTATCATTCAAAATAGATGGAGCAATAAAAGTCTTCCATGATAAGCAGAAACTAAAACAATATGTGACCACAAAGCCACCACTACAAAAGATTCTGCAAGGGATTCTGCACACAGAAAGTGAACCCAACTTAACCATGAAAAGGCAGGCAGCACCAAACCACAGGAAAGAAAAAGCAAGACAGTAGAGAGTAACATCAACTTAGGTACACACAATCAAACCTTCAAACAACTAAGACAACTAAATGACAGGAATCACCACATACCTATCAGTACTAACACTTAATGTTAATGGACTTAATTCACCCATCAAAAGCACCTTTGACAAAATGGATTAAAAAGAAGATCCAACAATTTGTTGCTTACAGGAGACCATCTCACCGACAGAAATAAGCATAGGCTTAGGATGAAAGGCTGGAAGAAGATTTACCAAGCCAATGGCCCCCGAAAACAGCAGGAGTAGCAATACTTATCTCTGACAAAGTAGACTTCAAACCTACATTGATCAAACGAGATAAAGAAGGACATTCCATACTAATAAAAGGGGAAATAGACCAAAAGGAAATAATAATCATCAATCTGTATGCACCCAATGTCAACGCACCCAATTTCATCAAACATACCCTGAAAGACCTAAAAGCATATATAAACGCCAACACAGTGGTTGTGGGAGACTTTAACACCCATTATCATCAATAGATAGGTCATCCAAACAAAAATCAATAAAGAAATCCAAGATCTAAAATATGCAATAGATCAAATGGACCTAGTAGATGTCTACAGAACATTTCATCCAACTTCTACACAATATACATTCTTCTCAGCAGCCCATGGAACCTTCTCCAAAATAGATCATATCCTAGGGCACAAAGCAAGCCTCAGCAAATATAAGAAAATAGAAATATACCATGCATACTATCTGATCACAATGCAGTAAAAGTAGAACTCAACAACAAAAGTAAAGACAAAAAACATGCAAACAGCTGGAAACTAAATAACTCATTACTTAATGAAGAATGGATCATCGATGAAATAAAAGAGGAAATTAAAAAGTTCCTGGAAGTCAATGAAAATGAAAACACAACCTACCGGAACCTATGGGACACAGCTAAGGCAGTCCTGAGAGGAAAGTTTATAGCCATGAGTGCATATATTAAAAAGACTGAAAGATCCCAAATCAATGACCTAATGATACATCTCAAACTCCTAGAAAAACAAGAACAAGCAAATCCCAAAACAAATAGAAGGAGAGAAATAATAAAAATAAGAGCTGAAATCAACGAAATAGAAACCAAAAAAACCATACAAAGAATTAATGAAACAAAAAGTTGGTTCTTTGAAAAAATAAACAAGATCGATAGACCCCTGGCAAACCTGACTAAAATGAGAGAAAAAACCCAAATTAGGAGAATCAGGAATGCAAAAGGGGAGATAACAACAAACACC